TTCAAACAGCAGGGCCTCAAGATGACTTAAAATAATTTAAAATAAGACAAAACTATTCAAATGAACTAAAACACTTATTTTAGTTACATTTATGCATTTAGCAGACGCTTTTATCCAAAGCAACTTACAAAAGAGGAACAAAAACAATCTGTCAAAGAGCAAAAAATATTCATAATATACAGTACCAGGTTTATTAGACAGTTTGCCCCATCTACAGTTGTCTTTATCTTTGAAGAACCAGGATGTAGAAGTCTTGGATGTATAAGGTAGCCTAATATTAAAAGTGTGATTTCTAGACTTGGAAAATTCATGTAAATTGATCTAAACTGCATGGATATTTTGATCTATTTTATTAATGTACTTTCCAGTATATTCATAAAAGGCCTTGTTCACCTAAAAATGAAAATTGTCATCATTTATTCATCCTCATGTCTTTGAAGACTTTGGTTAAAACACAAATGAAAATATTTTTATGAAACGTGGGAGTTTTCTGTCCCTCCACTGAAAGTCCAGGTAGCCAAAACGTAGAAGATCATAAAGGCCTCTCAAGACGAATCCATATGAATCGAGTCAAAAAGGATATGAACCACTGATTTTAATAGAAAGTGTATGTGAAACTTTAAGGGATCTAACTGAGATATGGGTGACATGTTAAAATCATAAACATTTCACTCCAGAAATGAACTAGGACTTTAGGGTACATCAAGCAATGACTCAAAAATGAAATCAATTAAACTACTGAATATATGAACGAACTGATTGGCTAAAATGAATCCATGTGCATTAAGTGTGTTTCCTCCTGGTCTGTAGGGGGCAGCAGCGGTGGCAGGTGCCGGAGTGATTCAGAGCATCTGTCTTCCTCTCCTCAGTGTGTATGAGGGACCATCTAATGGAGCCACGCAGGTACTGCCTTACAACTACAATATCCTAATTGGACTCATTTTTTGAGGAGGTTTAGAGCCTCTTTGTGACCGCAGCTCTGTCTCTCTCAGGCGTTTGTGCGTAAGTCTCAGGATGCCCCCAGCTGGCCGGGTGTGTACAGATTGAGTCTGTCTCTGATGGAAAGTCTGCTGAAAACTGTCCGTTACAACTTCATTAATGAAGCGCTCGACTTTGTTGGCGTCCACCAGGAGCGCATCCTGCAGGTGTGTTTGATTGCTGCTCTTGTTATTGTTTATCTTGATTATATTTTGTTTTCTCTTGTTTGATTTTTTGGTTTCATAATAAGGGGTTCATAAGTTGATGTTTGTGTGTTTCAGGTGAATCTGTGCTATCTGTGTCAGACGTGTACATACCTCCTACACAGCAAGAAAATGCTGCACCATTACCTGCAGGTATGAGACGTTTGAACATCTTTAGTTTGTCAGTGCTGTATGTGTTTGATTTAATATGAGTCTGTTTGCTCAGGCCAAGAATGGGGAGGGGCTTCCACCGGGGCCACACCCCCAGCATGCCGTACAGCCCGCCTCCACTCAAGGCTGTTTGCATAGCAAAAGCACAAAACAAACATCATACATCCAGGCCAATAGTAGGGTTGTGACGGTGAGGAAATGTTCCCACCGGTTAATCGGCGTGTGACAACACCGGTAATACCGGTATCACCGCGGGGGCGTTCCCTTTTTTCCTCGCTTTCCTTCACTTTTAAAAAGCTTGTAAAAGCGGCGTGCGCATTTTACTTTCACTTTCAAATAGCGGCAATTCGGTATAAAGCAATTGTTCGTTTTTAGTTCGTTTGAATTTTCCCTCTTTTCCTCGCTTTCCTTTGCTTTTAAATAGCTAGTAAAAGCGGTGTGCCCATTTTACTTTCACTTTTGAATTAACGGCAGTTCGGTGTCAATTGCTTGAATGCAACAACAAAATACAACGTCAAGCTCACTTTAGCGTATATATAAAACATAGAACTTTTATTAACAAAACAAATAAAAATACACCATGCTATAGGGCAGGCTATGCCTAATATAAAATAACAAATAACTTACATAAAGTTTAAATGAATAAACTGGAAACAAGTAAACATGTATACTTTTTACATGTATACAAGTAATATATAACCAAATAAATGTCAAATGAAATAAATAAATCACACAAAGTTTAAATAAAGTAAAAATCAGCAAACATTTTTAAAACATTAAAACATTTAATTGTGGAACCAATTAAATAAGATTTTATTTTTTTTTTTTACTTCCAAAATCACCTTAGATAAACGGCAAAAGTCAACAGGCTTTTCAAAATCCAAAATATTGCCAAACAGGTGCTTTTGCATCTAGTTTCGAAACTAAATCATCCGCGATCGTCTTGTCTGTCTCACCCCTCTCTTCTTGTCAGTCAGCTCGACTCACTCTCCTCACTGGAGAAATGAAGTCTGATCTGTGATGCAACTGTCGTTCAACTGCATTGAGCAGCCGCGTTCAGTTTTTAATTGTAGTGTCTGTTCTTTTACTGAACTCAATTATTTTTATTACTATAAAAAAAAAATCTAAACGATGGTGGGGGTCGGTGCCGCGGTGGGCAAGTGACGTAACCGGTGTTGCGGCTTAACACCGGTATCACCGTCAGCACCTATCACAGCAAGCCTAGTACATACATTCACACGTCACATCAAATCACTGGAAACACTCCGCTTTCATGGTTGGAGCTTTAAATGACATCTTTTTTTCTCTGTGTGTGTGTGTTTAGTCTATGGATCTTGCGGAGTACAGGACGCTGTTTGTGTTGAGTTTCACCACTCCTGCCTTTGACTCTGATGTGGCTCCGTCGTTTGGGACTCTCATGGCCACCATTAATGTGGCACTGAGCATGCTGGGAGAGGTAGTGCAGCGCTTTCAGCTCTTCTGGTGTAATGAATGTTGTTTGTTTATATGCTGATTGTGTTGTTGTGTTTGTAGATTGAGAAGAGGAAGGAGCCGGTTGTGGTCTCTGAGGACACTCAAGCACTGAAGTGAGCAGAAACACTCCTGTGATGCTTACAGTCCGGTGTGGGTTTGAGCTCGAGGTCATCTCATGCTCTTTCTCTGTGGTTTCAGGTCTTTGCTGATGTTCTCGATGGAGAACTGCTTCTATGTGTTGATCTCTCAGGCTGTTCGCTGTCTGAAGGATCCTTCAGTTTTGCCCAGGGACAAACAGAGACTTAAACAGGAGCTCAGCTCAGAGCTGGTGAGTTACACACAGATTCCTTTTTGTTTTACATTAATTTAATTATTTATTTTTTATTTTGAGTTATTTTCATTGCTGTAAGACCATTAGTCATCCTTTTTTTTTTTTTCCATTTAATTTTTTTTATGAAAAAAAAAAAGCCCTTTTGATTTTAGGGTGAAATATGACCTTAATCACTTTTTAACCTATTTGCTTGAGATTCACCTAAATATATGTTTCTAGTCAATTCAATCCATTCCATCTTGTTTTTTGTGTTTTCTTTCAGAGTACATTGTTGTCGACATTATTCCGTTTTTTCCGGCGAGGTTCCCCTTCCTCCCCAGCCAGCGGGCTGCTTCCCTCACTGCAAACCAAACCACCCACACCAGGATCCAAGGCCACGCCGGAGGGCCAGGAGCCCTTCATCCAGCTGGTCCAAGCCTTCGTCCGGCACGTTCAGCGCTAGACGCACACATCCCGCTCTGATCAGAGCTCAGTACTTAAACGCTGATTCAGAGATCTGAATCAAAGGGAAATTTCAGCTCAATGAATCAGTTTCAGTGATTCTGGCTTCAACTTCAGCAGCTGATGAAAACTGTCAAAATAAATGTTTGTAGTTACATGTATATAATTAAAACATGTTACAAATGTTTGTCACTATTGTATGCCATAGCCATTTTGTATGAAAACTTTCTATGTCCCAGTTGCCATATATTTGTCTTATAACCATAATAAACTATAAGGGAGTAAACATGAAAGTGGTCTGACTTTTTGAATGGATACTAACACTTGTGCTGAAAAACATTTAATTTTTGTTTCAAATTATATATATATGAAATATTAAAAATGTCACTAAAATTACATATTTTAAATGTGCTGGAAAATAAACTCTATAGGGTCCTTTGCTTAAACAATTATAGCTAACATTAAAAATAAACTACTTTAATACGTTCATTCTTCGTAAACATTTATAAATTAAACGTTTTACAAAACCAAACATGCACAATTAATAGTAAGCAATAGCTAATTGTTTAAAAAAATTCAACATGAGGCTGTTCATGTCTTTTATATTCATATTTTTGGTTTTGTTTTAGTTAAATGTGTAATTTATTATAAAGTAATATATACAGTAAATGATTGAGTGCTGTATGATATTGATGTCATTGTAAAAATGCATCAGTCACATTCAGCCTTGATTTGTTTATTCCATGAGAGGTCCAATAAAGAATGTTTTATTTGGCAAATTTAATAGGATTACTAATAAAAACTTTAATAACCGTATGAACGCAGTAGGTTTTGTAAATGAAAAATTGAGTTAAGAAACCTTGCTAAGTTTCTCCACTCTTTTGCTAGTTTAAATACATAGCAAATAAAATGAAATCTGACAAATAAAATGAAATCTCAAATATAAACTATATAAATTCTAATGCTGATTAGTCCAGTACAATTCAAATCGGTTAACCATGAAAGCAGAGACAGTCTTGTGAGGGTTTATACATTTACTTGAAACAGTCTGCTACATTAAACCATGAGCTCATTTAATGAACATGTACCACTCATTTACATCAAGACGTTAGATCTTGAGCAGGATAACACGAGACCGGCAGTGAACATGAGACTGTCTAAAACCAGTATAAAACTAAAGCTGAAATTATTTACAGGAGATAATCTCTTCCGCTATTAAAAAACATTCCTTTTACACGGTTAGGAGCTTACTGTATATGTGCAAATACTTCTGAACGGCATCATCGTACCTCAAAAGAGAGTAATAAATTAAGAATGCAAATTAAAAGGGCGAGAAAACCATAATGTTAAGATTCAACCGTTTTAAAAGCTGCAGTGGGAGTTTTCACTGCAGGCTGAACCTCTGCCTGAACGCCGCTGTCGACAGGCCACGCTCCCCGACTGCTGATTGGTCACTGGCCATTCAGTGGGACGTCCTGCAGAAACACAATCAGGTAAAACTATCAGAGATGTGGTGGGAGCCAAACAATCAAGCAAATCCATGCAGAGCATCACAAGCCTGAAATAAAACGCCTTCAAACATGGAGTAAAACTCTTCATACGGGCCACTGGGATTTAAACAACTGCAAGCAGCCAAAAAAAAAAAAAAGGAATGAGAAAGAGCAGTGAACGTGCAGTGATCGTCATGCAAAGAAACAGATCTGCATCAAAGCACACAAACGCACGAGCTGTCATTAAACTAACCTTCCACCTGCAGACCCTTCAGCCCAAAAACATTCAGATAGTTAGACTAAAAGAAGGGTGAAATAAACCACAGCGGGCAGAGCATTAATATCATGAAGAAAAGAAAACTGTTAAAAAAAATTATCCAGATAAATATCCTTTACAAACCCACATTCAAGACAACAGAACATTTAAAACCTAAAATGTCGTAAAATGTAAAACCTCATACTAAGTCCACAATATTGTCAATGTCTTTTTTTGTTCATATGGCAATAAATTAATTCTGCCACCAAAAAAAAAAAAAAAGTTTATCACAGACTTCACCATCAAACTCTCCTCGAATACTTTGGGTCCAAAAATGTTTCCAAGCATTTTATTCTCTAATGTCATTCAGTTGCATCACAAATTATTACTACTATTTATTTATTTAATATATTATGATTTTTTATATATATTTGAAAGATGTCTCTTCTGCTCACCAAGACTGCATTTATTTGATCACAAATACAGTAAAAACAGCAATATTGTGAAATATTCACACCTCCAGGTTTCCTCTGGCTCTCTTCAGCACGCCGTGAGTCAGAGACACTGCAGAAACACACGACACACACATCAGTGTTTGATGACTAGATGAGCACGTGTGTGTGAGTGTGTGTGTGCTGCTCTCTTACGCTGGTCGATGATGACGCGCTCCATGCCTTCTTTGAGCTGGTTGCTGGATCTGAGGCGTTTGACGGCTCCGCTCAGCATCCGCTCCTGCTGAGACAGACGAGTCTTCAGACGACTGATCTCACTCTTCAGCAGCTCCTCCTGACGACACACACACACACAGATGAACGGGACTGGTTTAATAAACCACAGTACTGCTGGGAATGGCTTTACTAACAAAGTTTCACAATTCTTGAACTTCACATAATCACTGAATTATGAATTCCTGTGAGGACTGTTGGTATCAGGGTTTATTTCTTAGTGAAAGACCATTTCATTTCATTGCATTTTTATTTATCAGTCGCAACGCTTCACAATGTATTTATTTCATCACTGATTTATTAGTCATTATTATTATTATTATTATTATATTATCTAATAAATGACTAAATAAATATTACATATATACTATATACATTGGGAGGTGTATTTTATTACATAAACTTTTAATTCTATTTTAATAAAATTTTATTAATTTCACAATTTCATTTTTTTGTATTTAATGAAAGAACACTCCATAATGTATTTAATTATTTTATCATATATTTAATTTAGTCTCCTATACTGAATTAGATGCATTTTATTTAACATTAAATAAATAAATTTTAACTCCATTTGAATTAAATGCAATTAATTTCACACTATATTTCTATTTAATAATAGGAACACTCAATAATGTATTTAATTATTTTTTCATATATTTCATTTAGTCTACTATATTAAATTAGGTGTATTTTATTTCACATACAAAAAAAATACACTTTATGTAAATAATGTTAATTAAATTTAATTAATTCTACATTTTATTGTATTTTTATTTTATTTTAACACTCTACAATGTAGTTATTTCATGTATTTAATTTGTCTATTACATTATAAAGTGTATTTTACTTCACATAAAATAAAAATTGAAAATTAAATTTATCTTTAAATAATTTATTTAAAATACAGTAAAATACCATAAATAAGGTGTGGAATTAATGATAGAAACACTTTACCATGTATTTAATTACTTTGTCATATATTTAATTTAGTCTATTATATTACATTACAAGGTGCATTTTATTTCACAAATAAATAAAATGTTAATGTCACACCTTGTTTCTGGTCACAATTTATTGTATTTTGTATTTAATGATAGGAACACTTCACAATGTATTTAATTATTTAATCTTATATATAATTTAGTTTACTATATTACATGACAAGAAGTATTTTAATTCACATAAGTAAATAATCAAATAAATAAAAATGGTATAACCAATAAAACTTTGTTATACAACATCGATATTTTTTCTTTTCTTTTTTTGCCCATTTGCCAAACAATTAAGTATTTTCCTGAAGAGTATTTTATTTCACATTAAAGGGGTCATATGATGCGATTTCAAGTTTTCCTTTCTCTTTGGAGTGTTACAAGCGGTTCGTGCATAGATAAGATCCCTGAAGTTGCAAAGACTAAAGTCTCAAAACCAAAGAGATATTCTTTATAAAATTTAAGACTGGTCAACGCCCCCCTAAAACGCCTCGTTCAAACACGCCCCCACATGTCTACGTCTCGATGTGGGAAGATTTGCATAACGCCGCCCAAATGTTCACGCAAAGAAAGAAGGCGTAACTTTATTGTTGCCGCCGCCGCTGCCATGTCGTGGAGACGCTGTGTGTTTCGTTGTGAAAGCGAAACTACTTTGTTTGGTCTTCCAAAAGAGGACACGACTAGAAATCAGTGGTTAAGTTGTATTTACAACACTGTTCCAGAACACTTCAACCCAAATATTCAGATGTGTGCAGCACATTTTACGGACTTGCATTTTGACAAGGACTATTTCCTGGGAGAGTACCCTACAATGCTGGTGTTCTGACAAATAATGCTGACTCACAGCCTGTAAGTACGTTTACATATTTAAAGAATTTGCCACTGATGATTCAAACGCGAGTTTTGAGCAGTGTAAAG